AGTTGTAGTCCAAATAGGAAAGGTGAGGAAGAATATGGATGGGCAAAAAGCAAGATTTGAAGAGATACTGGCCAAGAATTTTCCCAAATTAATAAAGTTGGCAAGTCACAGTTTAATGAAGCTCTACAAATCCCAAGGATAAATAAAAGGACACCACACCTGGGCCTATTGGAATAAGATTGTTGAAGAGGGAAATAAACAGAAAATCCTAAAAGCAGTCAGAGAGAAAAATATATATTACCTTTAAAGCATCAAATATAAGACTGGCAGAAAACCTTTGCCTTCAACAGAAGGGAAAGAATCTAGAAGACTATAAAATGACACCTTTAAAATGATAGAGAAAAATAATTACTACTAATTTAGAATTCTATATCCAGTGAAAATATACTCCAGAAATGAAGCTGGACTAAAATTTGAGAGAATTCATCACTAACTGGCTAGAATCAAGATTGCCAGAAGAAATATCAAAAACCTCAGATATGCAGATGATAGTGCTCTAAAGGCAGAAAGCAAAGAGAAACTAAAGAGCTTCTTGATGAAGGTGAAAGAGAAGAGTGAAAAAGCTGACTTAAAACTCAGCATTCAAAAAACTAAGATCATGGCATCCAGTCTCATCACTTCATGGCAAATAGATGGGGAAGAGTGCAAATAGTGACAGATTTTATTTTCTTGAGCTCCTAAATCATTGTAGAGAGAGACCGTAACCATGAAATGAAAAGAAAATTTGCTCTTTGGAAGAAAAGCTATGACAAACCTAGACAGTGTGTTAAAAAGCAAAGACATCACTTTGCTGACAAAGGTCCATATAGTCAAAGCTATGGTTTTTTTTCAGTAATCATTTATGGATGTTAGAGTTGGACCATAAAGAAGGCTGAGGGCTGAAGAATTGATGTCTTCTAACTGAGATGCTGGTGAAGACTCTTGAGAGTCCCCTAGACAGAAAGGAGATCAAACCTGTCAATCCTAAAGGAAATCAACTCTGAATACTCATTGGAAGGACTGATGCTGAGGCTGAAGCTCCATTGTTTTGGCAATCTGATGTGAAGAGCCGACTCATTGGAAAAGACTGTGATGCTGGGAAAGATAGAGGGCAGGAGGAGAAGGGGACTACAGAGGATGAGATGATTAAATGGCATCACCGACTCAATGGACATGAGTCTGAGCAAACTCCAGGAGATAGTGAAGGACAGGCAAGCCTGGTGTGCTGCAGTGTATGGGGTTGCAAAGAGTTTGACACAAGTTAGCAACTGAATAACAATGACAATAGCAAATCAATTGGTACTAAATGAAATACTGAGTTATTCTTCAGGAAAAAAAATGATCTTAGAAGTAAGGTGGGTGAGAGTGAATGAAGAGTAAAAGAAACAGTAAATGTGTGGGTAAAACTAAATAAATATTGTCTGTTTAAAATAATTTAATGACCAATGACCATAGCTGTTGTGCTCAAGTTCTGTTGTGCATTGACTTTGTATAGTACCAAGGCTACGCTTCCTGAAGGCTGTTCCTGGTTAATGACTGAAAGCATCAGGGAGACTAAGGCAGGCCCATGCCTGGGGTCATTGAACTCTTCTGATGGCTGACCTTGGGTCAAGGACTTCCTGCAAGCCTTGCAAACTCTCCTTAGATGGCATGCTAGTCTAGGTCACTTTCACTCAACCTTTCTTCCCTCTCTATTAAACCAAGGTTCAGACTTCAGTTGCAGTCTGGATTACTTCTCATTTTCTCTCATAGGCATTTTCCCTCCTAAAATCTTTATACATTTACACACTGCTACATTAAAAATGGATAACCAACAAGGATCTACTGTACTGAATAGGGAACTCTCTTCCGTTACGTGGCAGCCTGAAGAGGAGGGGAGTTTGGAGGAGAATGGATACATGTATATGTATGGCTGAGTTCTTTTGCTGTCCATTTGGAACTATCACAACATTGTTAATTGGCTATCAGTTCAGTCACTCAGTTGTGTCTGACTTTGCAACTGCAGCATGGCAGGCTTTCTTGTCCATCCCCAACTCCCAGAGCTTGCTCAAACTCATGTGCATCGGGTCCGGGATGCCATCCAACCATCTCATCTTCTGTTATCCCCTTCTCCTTCTGCTTTCAATCTTTTCCAGCATCAGGGTCTTTCCCAGTGAGTCAGTTCTTCACATCAGGTGGCCAAAGTATTGGAGTTTCAGCTTCAACATCAGTCCTTCCAATGAATATTCAGGACTGATATCCTTTAGGATTGACTGGATTGATCTTGCTGTTCAAGGGATTCTCAAGAGTCTTCAACACTACAGTTCAAAAGCATCAATTCTTTGGCTCTCAGCTTTCTTTATAGTTTAACTCTCAAATCCATACATGACTACTGGAAAAACCATAGCTTTGACTAGACAGACCTTTGTCAGCAAAGTAATGTCTCTGCTTTTTAATATGCTATCTAGGTTTTCATAGCTTTTCTTCCAAGGAGCAAGCATCTTTTCATTTCATGGTGGCAGTCACCATCTGCAGTGATTTTGGAGCCCAAAAAAATAAAGTCTGCCACTGTTTCCATTGTTTCCCATCTATTTGCCACGGAGTGATGGGACTGGATGCCCTTATCTTTGTTTTTTGAATGTTGAGTTTTAAGCCAGCTTTTTCACTCTCCTCTTTCACTTCCATCAAGAGACTCTTTAGTTCTTCTTTGCTTTCTGCCATAAGGGTGGTGTCATCTGCATATCTGAGGTTGTTGATATTTCTGCCGGCAATCTTGATTCCAGCTTGTGCTTCATCCAGCTGACATTTCACATGATGTACTCTGCATATAAGTTAAATAAGCAGCTATAGTCCAATATGAAATAAAGCTTAAAAAAAAGCCTTTGTGTATTTAAAAAAAATTACATAAATCATCAAGCCAAGTTTATTGAAGCCAGACTGAAATTTGGTTCTCTCTCTCAAAAGCTTTGTACATAGAATTGGCATCTGCTTTTCAAAGACCCAGGTGAATACAGTAGAATTAAATATATGAGAAATAGCACAAAAGACAGGAGGCAGTAATTGGAGTAAAAGTGTTACAAGGTCCTTGTATTAACTAAGTGGTGAAGAACTAATTTAAGACAAATTGTAATATATAAAGTCAAGAGAAAATAATAAGAAGAAATGTACAAATAAGCTAACATGGTAGAAATAGAATAATAAAGACTTGAAAAAGTTAAAGCAAGAAAGGGTAAAAGGGGAAAAAGAATAGCTGGCATAAATAGAAAGCTAGTAATAAAATGTCCCATGCAGAATTGTTCTTATATGGTTTTTATCTTTGATGTCATGCTTTTAGAAAGGCCATTTCCATTGTACCAGAAATGATTATCTACATCTTATAGTTTTATTTTTAAAATTTATATTATAATTCTTCTGGAATTATTCTGAAATAATGTATGAATTAGGATTCCAACTTATTTTTTTTTTACCACTTCTCAAATGATTACCCAATGATCTTAGCACCACTTGTTTTTTAAAAATTTTTTATTGGAGTATAGTTATAATGTGTTAGTTTCAGGAGTACAACAAAGTGAATCAGTTATATGTATGTGTGTATATATATACACACACACACACATACTTTTTAAAAAAATTCGTTCCCCATATTGGCCATTATACAGTATTGAGTAGAATTTTCTGTCAGCACCACTTTTTAAATGAATTATCTTTTGTCTGCTTATTTGAAGTGTCAACCAATTTTATCAAATAAAAAATTCCAAAATAAACCCAAGTGTAAATTAGATTACTGTGTTTATCCATAGTCTAGGACAATGCCTGGCATTTAATAGATGTTCAATAAATTTGTTGAATGAATAAGAACTAAAGAGAGAAAATCCCATTTTTGTCTTTAGAGAATTTGTGATCTAATTGCAGAGATAGGAACAATACAGACAAAAGATCAGGAAATTAATGGCAGAGATAGACAAAAGATAGGACCAATGCAGATGAAAGATAGGAAAATGTTATTTCAGTTAAGTTCGGTAGTTTTAATTTGAAGGAGTTTTAATGTGATTCAGGGAGAATTGAGAGTCATAACTTTTGGAGACGAGAATCATTATCGTGTGAGAAGAAGATATTTTGGCTCCTCTTGGAGGACTGCATTGTGGAGGGGTAAGGTTATCCATCCTAAGAGATCCTAAGAGATCCTGAGAGATCCTAAGCCATATAAACATGTATAGAAAGGAGCAGAGCTGTCTGAAGGCAGGCTGGGCTTTTTAAATTTTTTGGTGGAAATGCCTTCCAAATACGGGATTCTGAGGTTCTCTGTAACCATGGACATGTTGTGTTTGGTAAAAAGATAAAATATATTTTTTTTCCGTTTTTCTCAAAAAAAACTCCTTAAAATACCAAACTTTACCTATGATAGCAGAAAACAGAATATAATGCATTTATATTTACCATGCACAATGGACATTTAGATTTTTGAAGTATTTTGACAGAGCTATGTACATACAAGTTCCACCAGCCAATAATGTCTTTTGTCTCCTTGATTCCCACTCAGGTTTTCATAAAAGAGTACTAATGTCAGACATAGAAATTATTACAGGAAAAATAATTTGTTATTTTGTAAAGATCATCTTTTGTAATATTGGAAACTAAGCACAATATTCTCTTAATATTTGGTTCCTAGAATGGATAGACTCAGATAATAATTATTGACATTGTTAGCTAATTGCTAACTGCATAACCCTTAAAAAATTTTGAAAGGGCAATGAGATTGAGTGTATTTTGTATGATTGATTTCTTCTTCTTAAGAGATAACAGATTTATCCTGTTATAATGTTTTGAGATTTTGTTTATTTTATATTTTAAAAAATATCTTCCTTGTGACAGCACAGTGAGTCTAACAGTTATGATACAAGATTTGCTTATAGTCAATCTTACTTAATACCTAAACCAGTATCTCATGTTAAATATTATCAGTAGAGAAAGCAGTTCATAATTGCAGGATACCAGTTTGCAAATGCATATATATTTGATGGTCTTAAAATTTATTTCCCTAGGAAATATAACTTTTGAAACAATGGTGGAAATTCTCCGAGATAAACCAAGTGGCATTAATATGGAGGGAGAATTCCTGACCACTGCAAGCATGGTTTCTGTTTTACCTCAAGATTCCAACCTTCCTTGCATTCACTTCTTTACAGGGACTCCTCATCCTGAGAGGTAAAGTCACAAATACTATCAACCAGGCAGGGAATAGGGTAGAGTCATTAGTCTGGTCATGATTTTGTCAGGCTAAATTTTTGTTGCACCAATAAGACAAAAATTTTCTACTGGATGTTTTATTCAGGTTTTAGTCTGCCATTTGCATATGTGTTATATAACTGTTCTCATTCTTACGGGATGAAAATGTTTATTGTTTCTGGTACACAGTTATTCCTATCCCCTCTTTCCCCAAATATATTTAAAATTGTCGAGAAAAGAAAGTAGATAGGTTTTCTTATGCAGATTTCTGTATTAAATATTAGATGATTAGTAAGAGTAAAATGGTTTAATAATCTAGAAAACACATATAAAACTTAAAATATCAATAGTTCAAGCTTTATCAAGTAGGATTATACAGGCTATCTTGATTTAAATTGTTGGTATCTCTCATAAAACATAATGCACATTACATTTAGAAATGATCTTATGTGTGCTATCTATTATCTTTCATATTATTAGAGATATCTTCAAGCAAATGGAATGAAATTTGTGAACTCTTTATTAACACTTCTGCTTATTTTCATCCCATATCCTAATCCTCAGTATTTTGCACTGAGGATTGTTCTTACCCTCCAACTGTGGAGTTTGCAGTAAAAAATGAACCATAAGTTTACTTGACACTGTTTATATGCCAGGCCCTTTGTTAGGTTCATGGGGATTCAAGGCTAAATAAAGCATGTCCCTTGCCCCAAAAGAAGATCCTAGTATACCAAGGAAGATAGGTACAGGTAAAAGTAGTATGATAGGAACAATCAATATGTTATAGATGAGTAGAAACTAGAGGGAATCATAGAAGATTTAGAATAATGCTGAATATTTTTATATAGCACATACCAACTTAATACTTTTGCTTCTAGATCTGTTTTTAAGCCTTTCATATTTGTGCCGAATATATCACAACTACTGGACACCAGTTCACCTACATTTGAACTTGAAGATTCAGTTAAAAAGAAGCTACAATTTAACATCAAGCCTGACAGAAGACATCCACTCTACCAAAAACATCAAGAGGCCTTGGAAATACTAGATAATAAGATGGTACGATTAGATTATCTTTTCTGTTTATCATGAAGAATAACTTAAAGTATGACTCAATTCATATTTTGAACTTTGGAATGTCAGCCTTCTTTCCTTTATATAAAAATAGGTCTAAAAATAGTTTAGATGCTTAGACTATAATAGAGCTATATTATTTTTGTGTGTGTGCTCAGTTGCTCAGTCATGACCAAGTCTTTTTGACCTCATGGACAGTAGCCCACCAGGCTCCTCTCTCCATGGAATTTTCCAGGCAAGGATACTAGAGAGGGTTGCCATTTCCCCCTCCATAGGATCTTCCCGACCCAAGGATTGAACTCACATCTCCTGTGTCTCCTGCACTGGCAGGTCAGTTCTCTACCACTGAGCCACCTGGGAAACCTTTATATTATTTTTGACCTTTGGTTAAAAATAATGGTTAAGAATGTAGTTTGAATTTTTTAGAGCAATTTATTATATTAAGCATAATAAAAATAGCTAAGATTTATTGAACACTTATACACCAAACACCATGGTACTGTTACATGGGGTATTTAATTTAATCTTCACAACCACTTTATCAGATAGGTACTATTAATACCCCCATTGTTGTTGTTGATTCGCCAAGTCTTGTCCAACTCTTCATGACCCCATGGACTGCAGCACACCAGGCTTCCCTGTCCCTCACCATCTCCTGCAGTTTGCCCAAGTTCATGTCCATTGCATTGGTGATGCCATCCAACCATCTCATCCTCTGTCGCCCTCTTCTTCTTCTGCCTTCAGTCTTTCCCAGCATCAGGGTCTTTTCCTGTCAGTTGGCCGATTGCATCAGGTGGCCAAAGTATTGGAGCTTCAGCTTCAGCATTAGTCCTTCCAATGAGTATTCAGGGTTGATTTCCTTTAAAATTGACTGGTTTAATTTCTTGTTGTCTAAGCGATTCTCAAAAGGCTTCTCCAGCACCACAGTTAAGATAGCATCAGTTCTTCAGCACTCTGCCTTCTTTATGGTCCAGCTCTCACAACCATATGTGACTACTGGAAAGACCGTAGCCTTGACTATACAGACCTTTGTTGACAAAGTGATGTCTTTGCTTTTTAATACACTGCCTAGGTTGTCATAGCTTTCCTGCCAAGAAGCAATCGTCTTCTAGTATCCTGGCTGCACTCACCATCCGCAGTGATTTTAAAGCCCAGGAAGAGGCAATCTCTCCCTAATTCCACTTTTTCCCCATCTATGAAGTGATGGGTCCGGATACCATGTCATAGTTTTTTTAATATTTAGGTTTAAGTCAGATTTTTCACTTGTCTCCTTCACCCTCATCCTCCTCACTTTCTGCCATTAGTGTGGCATCATCTACATATCTGAGGTTGTTGGTATTTCTCCTGGCAATCTTGATTCCAGCTTGTAACTCATCCAGACTGGCATTTCTCATGATGTGTTCTTCGTGTAAGTTAAATAAACAGGGTAACAATAAACAGTCTTGTTGTACTCCTTTCTCAATCCTGAACCAGTTAGTTGTTCCACTACAAGGTTCTAACTGTTCCTTCTTGCCCAACATACAGGTTTCTCAGTGGACAGGTAAGATGGTCTGGTATTCCTATCTAAGGGTTTTCCACAATTCATTATGATCCACACAGTCAAAGGCTTTAGCATAGTCAATGAAACAGAGGTAGATGTTTTTCTGGAATTCCCTTGCTTTCTCTATGATCCATCAAATGTTGGCAATTTGATCTCTGGTTCCTCTGCCTTTTCTAAACCCAGCTTGCACATCTGGAAGTTCTTGGTTCATGTAATGCTGAAACCTACATGCAGTATCTTGAGCATAACCTTACTAGCATAGGAGATGGTGTTTTGAACATTCTTTAGTACTGCCCTTTCTTGGGACTTGGGATGAGGATTGACCTTTTCCAGTCCTGTGACCATGGCTGGGTTTTCCAAATTTGCTGACATATTGAGTGAGAGTTGGACTATAAAGAAAGCTGAGTGCCGAAGAATTGATGCTTTTGAACTGTCGTGTTGGAGAAGATTCTTGAGAGTCCCTTGGACAGCAAGGAGATCCAACCAGTCCATCCTAAAGGAAATCAGTCCTGAATATTCATTAGAAGGACTGATGCTGAAGCTGAGACTCCAATACTTTGGCCACCTGATGCGAAGAACTAACTCATTTGAAAAGACTTGATGCTGGTAAAGATTGAAGGCAGGAGGAGAAGGGGACGACAGAGGATGAGATGGTTGGATGGCATCACTGAGTCAATGGACATGAGTTTGGGTAAACTCCGGGAGTTGGTGATGGACAGGGAGGCCTGGCATGCTGCAGTCCAAGGGGTCACAAAGAGTTGGACATGACTGAGCAACTGAACTGACTGACTGATTAAGTGTAGCATTTTGATAGCATTATTTTTTAGGATTTTAAATAGCTCTGCTGGAGTTCCATCACCTCCACTAGCTTTATTGACCGCAGTGCTTCCTAAGGCCCACTTAACTTCACACTCCAGAATGTCTGGCTCTGGGTGAGTGACCACACCGTCGTGGTTATCCGGGTCATTAAGATCTTTTTTGAACAGTTCCTCTGTGTATTCTTTCCATTTCTTCTTGGTCTCTTCTGCTTCTATTAGGTCTTTACCATTTCTGTCCTTTATTGTGCCCATCTTTGGACAAAATGTTCCTTTGATATTTCCAATTTTCTTGAAGAGATATCTAGTATTTCCTCTTCTGTTGTTTTCCTCTATTTGTTTGCATTGTTCATGGAAGAGGCCTTCTTGTCTCTCCTTGCTATTCTCTGGTATTCTGCATTCACTTGGCTGTATCTTTCCCTTTCTCCCTTACCTTTCACTTCTCTTCTTTCCTCGACTATTTGTAAAACCTCCTCAGACAACCATTTTGCCTTCTTGCTTTTCTTTTTCTTTGGGATGGTTTTGTTTACTGCTTCCTGTACAATATTATGGACCTCTGTCCATAGTTCTTCAGGCACTTTATTTACTAGATCTAATCCCTTGAATCTATTTTTTACCTCCACTGTATATTCATAGGGGATTTGATTTAAGTCATGGCTGGCCTAGTGGTTTCCCCACTTTCTTTAGTTTAAACCTGAATTTTGCCAAGAGAAGCTAATGATCTGAGCCACAGTCAGCTCCAGGTTTTGTTTTTGCTGACTATATACAGTTTCTCCATCTTCAGCTACAAAGAATGTAGTTAGTCTGAATTTGGTATTGACATTTGGTGATGTCCATGTGTAAAGTTGTTATCTTATGTTGTTGAAAAAGGGTATTGCTATGACCAGTGTATACTCTTGGCAGAATTCTGTTAGGCTTTGCCTTTGTTTTGTATACCAAGGCCAAACTTGTCTGTTACTCCAGGTATCTCTTGACTTCCCTCTTGAATTCCAATCCTCCATGATGAATTGGACATCTTTTTTTGGTGTTAATTCTAGGAGGTCTTCTAGATCTTTATAGAACTGATTAACTTCAGCTTCTTCAGCATCAGTGGCTGGGGCATAGACTTGAATTGTGTTGAATAGTTTGCCTTGGAAATGAACAGAGATCTTTCTGCTTTTTTCAAGGTTGTAACTAAGTACTGCATTTCGGACTCTTGTTGATTATGAGGGCTACTCCATTTCTTCTGTGGGATTCTTGCCCCAGCAGTAAATATAATGGTCATCTGAATTAAGTTCACCCATTTCTATCCATTTTTGTTTGCTGATTCCTAATAAATCTGAAACTTGGAGAGTTTAAATAGCTTGTTTAGTGTATCTCACACCAAAAATTATAAGAGTACTGGAGGGAAGTTAACCTGGTCTCTGAAATAATGTTCTTGATCATGTACCCTCAAATTAATTTTAACTGAAAGTGACTGGACACTCCATAGACTTAAAATAATAATTATAATGAGTTTTTTACAAAATGATAAATGCTTATATAATACTTTTAAATATAAGTATTATAAAAGATTAAATATATCATACAAAATCTCATCTCCCAAAATAAGTAGACATGTATATTTTGAGGGGCAGATAGATGGGGAGACAATTCTATAATATTCATACGTCTTCACCCTTCCTGCCCTCTTCCCTCTCTGCCCCAGGGATAAAAAAAAAAATAGAAGGAAATGGAAGGGTTACCTAAAGTCTTTTCATAAAACTATCAACTGATTCCTTGCAATGAAGGAAAAAATTGGCCATCTTACATGTTTTCTCACCTGCTTCTACTAGCTTCTGATTTTTATTGTCTATAATTACTTTTACTTTGTCAAGGTATATATATTTACATTCTTTCTACATTAAATGCATTAAATGAATTTTCCTCCCAGGTAATTTTTTTTTTCCTTTTTCTGTAGTATGTTTATATAGTCGTCATGCTTTTCTGTCTGCTCTTCCCCTCCCCACAACTTATGCTTAAAACAGAGAGCTCTGTTCAGATCTTCTATGTGTTATATGTTCTTGACACTACCCTGGAGGACATGGCAACCCACTCCAGTATTCTTGCTTGGAGAATCTCATGGACAGAGAAGCCTGGCAGGCTACCGTCCATAGAGTTACAAAGAGTCGTACATGATTGAAGCGACTTAGCATGCACTCACACTTGACACTACTCTGCCTTTTCTGAGACCGGCTTGTTTGACCTCTGACCTACAGTGTAAACTTTTTTTGTAGCCAGGTGGTATGGAGTGAGAGGCAAGTGTTTTGTTTTAGGAGCCTATTAAGTGCACTGACTCAGGCCCAGTTCCCTGGGTCAGCAGTGTCATTCCCTCCATGAGCTTGGCTCATCCTGATTGAGCACAGCGCTGTGAAAAATGATGAACCCTCTGGCTCCTCTCGCCTTTACTCAAGTTCCTCAGTGATGTGTTTCATGAACGTCTGCTCTGGAGGGATCTTCCTTCACGCCTCCCCGAGCAGCCTCTGCACTGCTCTAATTCCTCACGCTAGTTCTCAAGAGTTGTCGCGCCCTTTTCCCCTTAAATACTGCTTGTGGGAGTGAGGTGTTTTTTTTTTTCCTGTTTTGGGAGTGAGTTTTGTAGAATTACTACTAAATGCCCATTAAACTAAATAAAATCGCTGTTTGACATTTCTCCAAGTAATATTGAAATAAAATTTAAAAGAAGTTACTATTTTAGGGTTTGTTTAATAAGTATTAAATATTGATTGACAGCAAAGTAGTGGAAAGACAGTAGAATTTGAGGGAAGAAGTGTCACAGTTTGGTTCTAGTTCTGGCTGTGTAAATAACTACTTTTGTGTTTTAGGGAGAGTCAGTTCTACTGGTAGTTTGTTACCATTTCTTGATTACTAATGAAGTTGAAAATCTCATATGTTTATTGGCCTTTGGTACTTCTTCTTAAATGATTTGTCTGTTATTTTCCTTAGCCTGTTTTTCAAGTGATTCTTGTTTAGCCCTTTGCCCCAAAGAGGCAAAAAATATATGAATAACTTTGTTATGTGGCAAATTTTAAATCTGTTTATTTAACTTTTTTGTCAGACAAAGTTTAAAATTTAATCAAGTATATTTGTTACTGTAAGGCATTTTTATTTCATGCTTCAATAGGCCTGCCTCACCTCAAAATAAATATAACCTCTGCATTTTCTTCTAGTATGTGTATATTTGGGGAAAAAAGTTCTTTGTATGGAATTTATTTTTGCAGGTGTTACGAAGTAGGGTTCTAACTTTTTCAAAGAGGTGACCAATTATTCTAATACCATTTATAAATTAAATACATTTTTTGTTTAGATATGGAATGCAGGGTTTCTTCAGGGGAAAAATTGCATACAATTTCACAGTGAAGTTCATCTCAAAGTTAAGAATCCTGATTTTGTGGAGTTCTGCTCTATAATGGTTCAAATTTTTAAAATTATGCTCACTTTTTATAACTCTCATCCTATATACTTTTTCTACCAGTACCTACCCTCTGATGATGGTAATTCATTAATAACTTGAAATTGCTCCTTTCAATAAGAATCATGACCTTTTTAACCCCCTTGTTGAAACAAGGAATCATAGAGAAAATGTCTTTTCTTTTAGTTGTTCTTTCCCTTGAATGTTACTATTCTACTCCTTTGTTTAATCTGATAATACTGGTCTTAAAAATAGAAGATCCAAATTCACAAAAATAGCTCAGCCTCAGTTTTCAGCAGTCTTCCCCATTCACAATTAGTACAAAAATTTCAATTGACCTGTTATTTGTCTTTTATGTTTCTTGCTTATAGACTAGTACTACATATTTGTTATTGTCTTTTCTACTAAGAATAACTAATAGTTTGTGGTTAATAGATTAACTCAAGCTAGAACAATGATTTTTCCCAAAGAATTTCATTCCTTCTTTGTCTAAAGAACTGAACCAGAACTTGAAACCAGAATGAACAAATCTTGTCTGTAGAGGTGATTTGGAATTTGGTTAGACTCGTGTGCGTGTGTGTACATTCACATGCACATATGTGTCTGTATATTTACTTATTTTTATTTTTCAATTGTTCAGGAAAAAGCCAAAACAATGTTGGACAACATGAGCAAACTGGAGAAAGAACTGTTCAAAGAGATGGAATCAATCCTTCAAAACAAGCATCTTCATGTGGATAAAATTGTTAATCCTTTTCATCAGTGTACAGAAGATGAAATTAGAATTTATAAGTCAAATGTTAGTTCTTAGTGATCACATAAATGGTCAGCAATCATCCTCAAAGTTAGAATCCATTACCTTGGTAAATAATATAAACTTAGTTTGAGCAGATCTGACTATTCTTTAATAGCATTCAAGTGATAGCATGGCTATTAAAACTATATATAGCTTTGATGAAATATTGAGAAAGGAAATAAGATTGGAATTGGACATATATATCATGGATAGTCAGGTGTTACTTCAGGTGTTGACATATACATTTTGTTAGCCATGATATCTTTAAAAAAATCACAATAATGAAATGTCCAATTCTGCATAAAGCATGAAACATTAAAATAATGTATGCATTTATTATAATTATATATTGTCCTCAACTTTCTCAGTTACAGTAAGAAAGCAAATTTTTCTTTTTAATGGAAAATATTGTCTCAACTAATAAATTTTTTGAGCTTTAGGCAAGTATTAGCCAGCTCTAGCAAAATTTTCTAGATTTACATTGTTTTATTAGTGTTTTAATTATGCAAATTTTTAATTAAACTCAAACATGCTCTTTGTCAAGACTTAGCTGACCAGTGAGCTTTTAGCTCTTATCATCTAGCATTCTTTCACCCATGCTCCTTATTTAGAGCTTTTCTGGGAGATCAGGACATGAAATAAGCCAAGACCCCAGGAGGTACTGTTTTGCTATCTCGAATCTCGAATCTTTTACTTTTGTTCATTCAAGGAAAACAGGAACAGGAATGGGATCAGTTCAGTTCAGTTCAGTCGCTAAGTCGTGTCCGACTCTTTGCTACCCCATGAACTGCAGCACCCCAGGCCTCCCTGTCCATCACCAGCTCCCAGAGTTTACCCAAACTCATGTCCGTTGAGTCGGTGATGCCATCCAACCATCTCATCCTTTGTCATCCCCTTCTCCTCCTGCCCCCAATCCCTCCCAGCATCAGGGTCTCTTCAAATGAGTCAGCTCTTCACATCAGGTAGCCAAAATATTGGAGTCTCAGCTTTAACATCAGTCCTTCCAATGAACACCCAGGACCGGTTTCCCTTAGGATGGACTGGTTGGATCTCCTTGCAGTCCAAGGGACTCTCAAGAGTCTTCTCCAACACCACAGTTTAAAAGCATCAATTCTTCTGTGCTCAGCCCTCTTTATAGTCCAACTTCCACATCCATACATGACCATTGGAAAAACCATAGCCTTGACTAGATGGACCTTTGTTGACAAAGTAATGTCTCTGCTTTTTAATATGCAGTTTAGGTTGGTCATAACTTTCCTTCCAAGGAGTGGGATAGTGGTGATGAAATAGAAGTATTAACATATTATAAACATTAAAATGCTATAATGTATAATTCGTTATGAGCATTATATATGAGTTATAGTATCTGCCCCCAAATTATAAAACTTTGTTAAAGTTACACAGAGATTACCAAGTAAGACTCAAAGTTGCAAATATAAATAAAAGAAAAATCCAACTCAAAATGACACGATATTTATTAGTTTCTAGAAATTTCTATTTTAGGTATTTGATTACACTGTCATATTTATTGGTCCCTATCTCAGATGTAAAGAATCTCCCTGCAATGTGGGAGACCTGGGTTCAATCCCTGGGTTGGGAGGATCCCCTGGAGAAGGGAGTGAATGGCTACCCACTTCAGTATTCTCGCCTGGAGTATCCCATGGACAGATGGGCCTGGAGGTCTACAGTCCATAGGGTCGCAAAGAGTCGGACTTGAATGAAGCATCTTAGCACACACACACATCATTGCAATTAGGATTGTTAGTAAAATACGGGATTACTATTATTGCTAAAGAGTGCTCAGAAATTGTTTTAAATTTTCTCTTAAAAATCATCATCTGACAGCTTTTGTCTAACGCAGGGCTTCCATTACAAAAGAAAACTTTATCAAGTACTCAGTTAATTCTGGTTTGTCTTATGTATAATTCAGCGAGCGATAGGTTCTTAAATCATGAAGCCCCTTAGCCAACCCCTATGTGCCCCCTCTCTCTTTTTTAATATATGAGGAAACTAAGGGTAAGCAGTTCAGTGATTTATTGAGGCACAGAAATGTGAGTCTTATTTCTCTCTCTAGGGCCTGCATGTTTTCACTTTCTCCTTTGATACCATGCTAGGCCAAACTAGCACCAGGCTTTTACCTGGACTACTGCAGTTAAGTTCTTCTACACCCATTTGTGCTCTTTATCTTCAGCCACGTGGGTCACTGCAGCCAAAATGACCTATTAAAATTTTAAATCTGGTCATGAATTTCCCTCTGAATTGAAAAAATAGGTTATTTTTAGAGCAGTTTTAGGTTTAAAGCAAAATTGAGCAGAAGGTGCAGGGTTGTCACATACCCCATTTCTCTACCCTCGCCCCACCATCAACATGTCACACCAGACTGCTACGTTTGTTATAACTGATGAACCTACATTGACACATCATTATCACCCCAAATCCAGAGTTTACATTAGGGTTCACTCATTGTACATCCTGTAGGTTTGGACAAATGTATAATGACATGTATCTACAATTACAGTATCATACAGAACAGTTTCATTGCTCTGTCCTCTGTGCTTCACCTATTTATCCCTCCCTTCCCCTAACCGCTGGCAGCCACTCATCTTTTATTGTCTCCATAGTTTTGGCTTTTCCAGAGTATTAAATAGGTGAAATCCTACAGTATATGGCCTTTTCAGATTGTCTCTATAACTTAGTAATATAAGTTTCCTCTATGTCTTTTCATGGCTTGATAGCTCATTTCTTTTTAGTGAGGAATAATATTCCATTGTCTGGTTATCCTGGTTGCTGATATCCACTACTGAAGGGCATCTTGGTTGCTTCTATGTTTTACCAATTTTAAGTAGAGCTGCTGTAAACATCTGTGGGCAGGTTTTTGTGTAGACGTTTTCAACTCCTTGGAGTAAATACCCAGGAACATGAGCGTTGGATATCATGGTAAGAGTATGTTTAGTTTTATAAGAGACTGCCAAACTGTCTTCTAAAGTGACTACTGTACCACTTTGCTTTCCTACTGTCAATGAATAAGAGTTTCCATTGTTCCACATCCTTGCCAACATTTGATGTTGTCAGTGTTCTGGCTTTGGGCCATTCTAATAGGTATGTAGTAGTATCTCACGGTTTTAATTTGCATTTCCCTAATGACATATGATGCAAAGCACCTTTTAATATGCTTATTTGCCAACTCTGTATCTTCTTTGGTGAGATATCTGTTCAGATCTTCTGCTCATTTTTAGAAATCAAATTGTTAATTTTCTTACTGAATCTAAAAACTCTTTTAAAACAGTCACTGAGATAAGTCCCAATCCTTACCAACTATCAACAAGATTCTGCTCACACCTATCTTATTTATGCTTTTGTCATGGGTCTTTTTTTAAGTTTCTATTCTGCTCTTTAAATTCCTTGAATGTGCCCAGTTTCCTCATCATGACTACACCCTCTGCTTGCCTCATTCATTTCATGGACTCTTAATATAGAGTTCTGCTGAAACATGACTTCCTTAGGGAAGTTTTCCTCACACAAGGTTGGGTCTCTTGATACGCACATTCAGAGCCACATGAGAGCCTGATCACAAGTGTAATTAAATGTTTAACACCTCTCTCTCTCTCACAGCAGAATAGAAGCTTTATGAGGATAGGAACCACATTTTCCCCCCACTGTTGTGTACTTAGTATTCATCTGGCACAAGGTAGATGCTCAATAAGCATCTGTTAAATTAACATTTGAGGACTGATGGAAAAAATTTACACAGTCCTCTTCTCTGCTTGTAAAGTTGAGAATGTTAGCTAGACAATATATCTGTATAACTTGGAAGATAAGATAGCCTTTTATTAAGGTTGAGGTCAATCTGTTCCCTTTTTCCATAATCCAAAATGGGAATAATAACTCCCCAAATAAAGACAAGAATTATTATATTAATGTTTATAAAATAGCCAATTAATTTATAAAACAATTTGGGAGACTTTATAAATCTGAAATGGTATTTGGGCTTTGGTCCTTGCGTGGGTAAATAATGCCTTGTGGTATATTTTAGAAAATTTAAGGTTTTCTTAAATTTCATGGGTTTCTTAAGAGTAAAAAATATAGTAGCTCAAATTAAGTACTTTTTTGGTCAGTCCTTAAATGATATGGTTTATTATTTACAATTACATAATAAACTAAGGGAATAATCTAATAAACTGAGTATTTTAGAGAAAGCTAGTTTGATCTTTGATGAAAACATCAATTTATATATTAATTTTTAATGAAAATATTTACCCTAGAAATAATTATGCCACCTAGAATTTTGGAAATCTAGTTTCTATTTGTAATTTTGCTCTAAAACAGGTTTTGTGGAGTAAATGTTTTCTCTTTTTGATTGATTTTAGGCTTTTATCATTATAATTGGAGAAATTTATCATCCTGTCTTTTCCTGAAAAACGGTGATATTTCTGATCCTGTTTCCAAGCATAATTCATTAACTTGACCATCTAGTTTAGTGATCTAAAGTAATTTAATATTATACATAATATGAGGTATGATGGGGCAAAACTAAGCTGTATTCTGCTGCATAGCAAATGTAACATAATACTTTTACACTATTTTTGTGCTTTTAGAAATTTACTGATCATTAACTATTATTCTTAAAATGTCAAGCACACTTAACCTTATTCTAAAAAATCCTGAAATTTAAACACAAGTTAGGCATGGAATCACACATTGATAACAAAGAAAAGAACAACTGATCATGCTGAAGATTAGTATAAAAGTGGCAGCTTTTAATCAAAATTGTATTGGATAATTTTGCCAGCAGTGACCCTACATATTAAAAATTATGAAATATGTGAGGACTCTAATGTCATACTGACTCATGAAGAAAAGGTGCTTCCTGAGAGCATACTTGGCAAGGTCCTGTGCACAGGCCCCATAGGGTCGTGAAGGACAGTCAGCCTCAGGAGATCCACTTAAGGAAACACTGAAAACCTATAGAAAAGACCCCTCTGATGGCTTCTGCCTTATTTGGATTACTCAAAGAC